CCACATCACAAATTAGTGACATGAAAAACACGCCGCAACACACAACGTAAAAGTGAATATAAAACCTGCTATGACCTCTGCTCTGCTCTGACTGCCTTTGACCCCATAAAATTTATTGCGGCGTGAATTTCACGTGACAACGTTGTGACATGTTTCCCACGTCGCAACAACATTGTCACGCGCTCTTCAGCGACGTGTTTCTTCACGTGGCAAAAACAAAATTGTGACATGATTTTGATGATAGCGACGTGGGAGTCACCTGACAACACACAACTTATTTTGTAGTGTGATAGGATAAATATTTAGAGAATATAATGAGATGTGAGGTTGTGTTTTTTTAGAATGAAAAAATGGATAATAATAGATAAAAGTTATCATTTTGTAAAAGTTAATTGAAATTTTTTGTTAAAACGAAATGTAACTCTATTTGGGAAAACCAACCTTTATAGTAAACATTGTATAAAATCTAAATGAAATAATTAGAATGTAAGTGACAATAAATAAAATTTAATAAATATTAAAAGATATTAAACTATAACAAAATATAAAATTTGATGATTGATTTTCTTATTATTAATTTTTATAATGAAGATTGTATCTTCAAAATGATCACAAAAAGACAAAGTTAAAATTTATTTAAAGGAATTTCAATTCAAAAATTTTTATGAAAAATTTTCAAATTAAAAAAAGTAAATTTTAATTAAATTGTAAAAGGAAAATTAGATAAAAATAAAAGATATAATTAGAATTTAGATAATGTTGTAAATTAAAATAGTAATTTTTAATATTTCTTATATAATTGACATTTATTTTTTTTACTAAATTGTCATTATTACCGCTATTAAAAATAAATTTACTATGAAAAAAATATATTATTTTTTACAATTATTTATGTTACTAATATAGAAATCAATAAGACAAATATTTATAAGTAAAAAAATTAGACAAACATACATAAGTAATATATGAGTTAAATAAGATTAGAATTATATGCTAATATAAATAATTCATAATTATTTTATTATCACCAAAACAAAAATAATATATATATATTTTTATTTCATTTTCCTAATTGTGTGAACTTTATAATAATAAATATTTTATAAATTAAATCAATTACATGAACTTAAATACAAATAATAATATAATGAACACATCAGTACCCGTACAAATACACAAGTGTTCATATCAAAATTTGTACAAATTTACGGGTTATTATATTATTTTTTTGTATAATTTAGAAACATATGAGTGTAATGGATCAGTACCCGTACAAACGCACGGTGTCCAGTTTATAATTTCTACGAATCTACGAGTTATTGTATTTTTGGTACAATTAAAAAAATAAAAATAAAAATATTAAAAAAAATATATGAATCCAAACACGAGAAATATTTATTATTTTTTAACTATTTATGTTACTAATATTATTATTATTTTTTTAAATTTAGGATACAACATATTTTAAGATAATATATACAAATTAGAAATATATATTATTAATATAAAACAATTTTGGTAAAAAAATTATTTTTCATGTAAAAATATGTATTTCTTTTAAAAATAATAAAAAAAATTGGTAAAACAATTTTGTTTTTCTTATTTACATTTTGAAAACAAAAGTGTGCGTATCACACCAGTATCAGTGTACGGGTAACGCACTAGTACCGTCTAACGCAAGGGTAATTATACCAGAATTCGTACAAATCCACGGACAATTTTATTTTTATACAATTAAAAAAAATAAAATAAAATATATTTAAAATAATATATGAAACCAAACACGAAAAAAATATATTATTTTTTAATTATTTATGTTACTAATAGTTTGTTTTGATTTTTTTTTTAATTTAAGATACAATATTTTCAAAAATAAAATATATATTATTGATGCATGACAATTTTTATAAAACAATTTTATTTTTATTTTAAAAATATGTCTTTCTTATAAAAATAATAAATTTTTTTGGCAAAACAATTTTTTATTTATTTATATTTTTATTATATTTTGAAAACAAAAACGTGTGTATCACACTAGTACATTTCTTATTTCATTTCTTATTTTATGGTGTATTTTTTATATTATTATTATTATTATTTATTTATTTAGCGGAAATTTTATATCAATCTTTCTTTTTGTTATCATATTTTTTATTTAATTATCCTATTTATTTTATTATACTACTTTTACATACTTTTTATTTAATCAACATATTTTTTCTAATTAGCCAAATAATTAATCACAATTGCGCGTAAAGAGCACAACCCGTATAATTGTTTCACATAAAGTTAATGATAAAAATATTTGATATTAATGTGAATATAAAGTTATTGATCAAACTATTGAATATTAACGATAACATGAAATTACTAATTAAAATATTTAATATTAACGGGAATATGAAGTTATTGACCAAAATATTTAATATTAACGAAAATATTAAATTACTAATCGAAATATTGAATATTAACGGGAAAATGAAATTATTGATAAAAATATTGAATATTAACAGGAAAATAAAGTTACTGATCAAAATATTAAATATTAACGGAAAAATGAAGTTACTGATCAAAATATTGAATATTAACATGAAAATGAAATTACTATCAAAATATTAAATATTAATGGAAACATAAAATTATTGATCAAAATATTGAATAAAAAGAATTATAAACACTAATTTATTATCTCTTTTAAAAATATTTTATTTTATTTTTAAAAAAAATACGCGTATCAATCTTCATTTTTCCATATTCGTTTTTTCATATATTTTTTATTTAACTATCTTATTTAATTTTCTATACAAAATAAATCACTTAAAACAAATGAATGTATCACAATGATACCTGTAAAAACGCAAGAGTATTCCTCTCATTTTTAAGATGGAACATAGATACATTAGAATTTGGTTATATCTAATTTATTTAATAATATGTTACTTTTTATCTTTAACTATTTTAATAATATGGCACTTTTTATCTTTAACAATTAATGTGTATCTTCAACATAGATACATTAGAATTTGCTTTTTATTTCTTATTGGCATATCATAGGGACAGACAAGGAAGATAGAAACTTGACATATCTTTAACAATTAATGTGTATCTTCAACATAGATACATTAGAATTTGCTTTTTATTTCTTATTGACCCGTTAGATTTTATACTTCAATCCACTGCCGTCCATTTCACATATCGGTTTTTACGGGTGGCGGTTTTCTCGGATAACGGTTTTCGCGGGTGGGTTCATCGGTTAACATCACAAATTGAAAAAAATATCGAAATCAAAACCAGAAAAGCACCGACCAATAAAAAGAGAGAAACTCATACATTTAAAATGAGAAACAATGAAAAATCAACTAAAATCAAACAATACAATAACTTGTTTTGAATATTTGTAAATATATTATTCCGTTTTGAAGCTAGATCCAGAATGCATGTTTAAAGAAGATATGAGTAGAAGAACAAAATAAGTGTTTCTTCTTGTCAAAAAATAGTTGCAGTATCTTGTATAGAGATGTTAACAGGGCATACAAATACTGAAAGAAAAAGCTATCGTGATAGAGATTAACATGTTTCAAATATAGAAGTTAAAAATGTTGTTTGAGAAGTGTGAAGTCTTGTGTTGTGTTGTGTCTTGGAGAGAGAAAGGAAAGAGAGGAAAGTGAAGTATTGTGTTGTGTCTTGGAGAGAGAAAGGAGAGAGAGGAAAGTAATTATTGGTGAGAGAGAAGAAATTGAACAGAGAGTATATGAATGAAAAAGTAAATTTCAATATAATGGACACGTGAACACCATCATTGTAATAATAACATTAAAATAATAGTTTTTGGAGTTTTGAAAACAACTATCTATACTATTCAGATAAAAATAATACACTTCGGTCGGTTATGGTTTTCATTAGATAAATTTTCATCATCCGAACCGAATCAAAGATATCCATTGAAACTCAATTTTTCCATCTTTCCACATCCGATACCCATCTATATCCGTCCGTATCAACAAATTTCCATATCGGACATAACGGTTTCGGACGGGTCCCGGTTTTTTGTCCACCCCTATTTGACACCTAACAATAGCAAATAAGACAGATATTCTTGCATATTTACTGATTGACTGACAAAATAAAATATAAAGTGGTGGACACAAACAAATAAGCCAGCCAATCAAGTCTTTGTAACTTCCCCTCTATCTTTCTCATAATCAGTCACTCTCTCTCTCTTAAATATCAAAAGTTACAAAGTCAATCACTCAATCCTCTCTCATGTTATGTCAGGTTTGGCTTCAATGACTTTCAACATTGGCGACTTTGATTTTTTTTCTTTCACATTTGCTGATTGGTTGATTAAACAAAATATAAAATGGGCCCGATTCAAACCGACCTCTCTATTTTTTTCTTCTTGCAAATAGATACAGGTTAGGGTTAATCAAATTATTTTTTAAATTTATTAAATAATTAACGTAAATTAATTAAAAAACAAAATTTATATATAAATTGTTACAGAGAGAATAGTGATTTATGAACATTGAACAAATCAAATTCTCAAAATAATTCGTAATAAATTTGAATAGCGTTATGAACTTAATTAATTTTATCGAATAAGTTGAGCTGAATTAAATTCAAGTTGACTGAACTCATACTTTTATCATTTCATAATGTGAACAAGAACTTCTTTTTTCTGACATAGAGACAAGAAAGATAGAGACTTACACCTAACACTGGAAATATAGTACAAAATATTTTGTTTGCACATTATTGATTAATGATTGACGGCAATACGAAATAAAACTTTTATAGCATACACGCATGTATTATTATGGTTGAGAAAATATTTTAAACTAGAATATGTAATGACAAACCACATTATTACAACTATTATTGTCCATGAATCATTATGCAGTAAAAAGTAGTTGAAATAACTTTATTAGAAACTCTTGTGAAGCAGCGTTTCCTTGTACGTTGCGTTTTCTGAATCCAATCTTACTTTATTGAACTAAGTCATGGCGGCGGCTATTCTTGGAGGAGCACTTCTTTCAGCTTCTATGGAGATGTTGGTGGGAAAGGTTGTTGATTTATTTCAGAGGACTAAGCTTGACGATTCGCTGTTGGATAATTTGAAGATAACACTGCTGAGTCTTCAATCAGTTCTTCATGATGCTGAGGAAAAACAAATCACTAATCCTGCAGTCAAGGAGTGGCTGAATATGTTGCAAGATGCTGTCTTTGAAGCTGAAGACTTGTTTGATGAAATCAACACAGAAGTTGAAGCTGAAGCTGAAGCTGGTCAGGTTCATAAAAAGTTTTTATCTCATTTTAAAATGTATAGTAAAAAGACCAATTCTAAACTGGAACAATTATTTCAAAAATTAGAGCATTTGAAAAACCAAAATCTTGGTTTGAAAGAAGGTGTTTCCAGCTGTGTTTGGAATGTAACTCCTACAACTTCTGTTCTGGGAGATGAGTCTTCTATTTATGGGAGAGATGATGACAAAAAGAAACTTAAAGAGATTTTGCTGTTAGAGGATGGTTGTGATAGTGGAAGTAAAATAGGAGTGGTTTCTATTGTGGGTATGGGAGGGTTAGGAAAAACAACACTAGCTAAACTCCTTTATAATGATCCTCATGTGAAGGAGAAGTTTGACGTGAAGGGATGGGCCCATATTCCAAAGGATCTTGATATTTTCACTGTCACTAAAATCACTCTTGAGTCTCTCTCTCCAGGATCAATTAGAGATACCAACTTGGATAATCTCCAAGTACAATTGGTGCAACGTTTAACTAACATAAAGTTTTTACTAGTGTTAGATGATATATGGTATGGAAACTATGTTGGTTGGAATAGTTTAATTGATATCTTTAATGTTGGGCAAAAAGGGAGTAAGATCATCATCACAACTCGAGATGAACGAGTAGTACTACCCATGCAAAAATTTCTCTATGTCCACCATTTAAGATCTTTGAAAACTGATGTTTCTTGGTCTTTACTAGCCAGACATGCATTTGTAGAAAGAAAATACCAAGAACATCCTAACCTAGAAAAAATTGGTAGAAAAATTGCCAAAAAATGTGGCGGTTTACCATTAGCTTTAATAGCACTAGGGGGTATTCTCCGGTCCATGTCACCAGATCGTTGGAGTGATGTATTAAACAACAGTATTTGGGAACGAACAAATGATGAGGTGCAGCCATCTCTGCTATTAAGCTATCGTTATCTTCCTACTTCTTTAAAAGGATGTTTTGCTTATTGTTCAATTTTTCCAAAGAATTCAATCTTAGTGAAAAAGATGGTTGTTCAGTTGTGGATTGCACAAGGCTTAATACCTCAGTCGAAAAGTGAGAAAACCTGGGAAAAAGTAGCTGCAGAATACTTCGATGAGCTAGTGTCGAGGTCTCTGATACGTCAACGGTCTATTGATGATGAGACAAAAGTGTTGATTGGTGATCAGGAAGCTTGCTTTGAAATGCACGACCTCATCAATGATTTAGCTATGGCAGTTTCATCTCCTTATTGCACTAGGTTGGACAACCATGAGTCAGATGAAAGGGTAGATAAAAGGGTGCGACACTTGTCATTGGACAGTAAAGAAAGTAGCACATATGATAAATTTGAAAAACTGCATGGATTAAAAGGTCTACGAACCTTTCTACCAATGCCATTGCAAGCTTCATGGAGGTATGATAATTTCACGCCGTGGAAGTTAGTTTTTGACACGTTGTCCACAATGACACACTTACGTGTGTTGTCTCTTTCATACTACGTAAATATCAAAGAGTTGCCCGACTCAATTGGAAATTTGATATATCTGCAATACTTGAATCTCTCTGGCACTCTGATTAGAATGTTGCCTTCAGAAACATGCAAGCTTTGCAATTTGCAGACGTTGTTGTTGTCAAGATGCGAGGAACTCAGTGAATTGCCAGAGGACATGGGGAAATTGGTGAAACTACGCCACCTTGACATTAGAGGCACTCCATTGAAGAAAATGCCTGTGCAACTATCTAGTCTAGAAAATCTACAGACATTGTCAGACTTTATTGTTACCAATGTTAAAGAAGATGGATTGAAGATTGGAGATCTCGGAAAATATCCCCACCTACAGGAAAGGCTTTCCATCTCACAACTTGAAAATGTAATTGATCCATCTCATGCTTCTCAGGCAAACTTGAAGATGAAAAATGAAATTGACGAGTTGGAACTAAGATGGTCTTCCAATGCTCCTTCAAACGCGCAAATACAAAGTGTTGTATTGGAACGGCTGCGCCCGTCCACAAATTTGAAGAGCCTGACCATCTCCGGATATGGTGGAGACAAATTACCAAATTGGTTGGGCAGTTCTTTTTTTAGTAACATGGTGTGTTTAAGGATCGCCAAGTGTAAAAATTGTTCAAGGCTGCCATCTCTCGGACTACTGTGTAATCTTAAAGAACTCTTTATTAGTGGCATGCAATCAATAGAGAGTGTTGGTACCGAGTTCTATGGAAGTGGTTCTACTTCGTTTCAACCATTTACCTCTTTAGAGACTCTATGCTTTAGCAATATGCCAGAGTGGGAGGAATGGAAGATGATTGGAGGTTCATCTCCCGAGTTTCCTAATCTTACATACCTCTCACTAGCTTACTGTCCAAAACTCAAAGGAAACATGCCTGGAAACCTTCCTAAACTTGATAGATTGTCACTTAATAATTGTCCCGAACTTAAAGAGATGACACCTAACCACCATCCTTCCCTTGCCGACCTTAGCATAACGAATTGTCCCTCATTGATAGAGTCAAGAGATTCAGATTATACTATAACTACAAGCCCACCATTTGATGTATTTAGCCAGCTGATACTTTGTCTCAATTCTCTTCAAAAGATGACCCTACTCAACATTCCATCTCTAACTTACTTTCCCAGAGACGGTCTTCCCAAAACCTTACAATCTCTCATAATTCAAGACTGTGAGAATTTGGAGTTCCTTTCTCATGATTCTTTTCACAATTACACATCACTTGAGTATTTGAAAATCTATCGTAGTTGTAATCGAGTGACATCATTTACCTTGCGCTCTCTCCCGGTCCTCAAAAATCTAACTATTTATTACTGTGCATGTTTAAAATCTATATTACTCGCTGAAGATGCATCAAATCAGAATCTCTTGTCTCTTGAAACAATCAACATAGGGAATTGCAATGAGCTAGAGTCAGTTTCTTCACTAAGTGGATTGCTCAGTCCTAACCTCACTGATTTAAGAGTGACTAATTGTGAAAAGTTCCGTTCTCTACCCGAATCAACAAATACTCTAACTAGCCTTCAAAACATGGAAATTATTGGCCTTCCAAATCTGCAATCGTTTTCCTTGCCCATCAGTCTACAAGAGTTGCGGGTTGGCAATGTTGGAGGGGTTTCGTGGAATACAACTTGGGAAAATCTCACTTCTCTTTCAAAGCTGGATATTCGAGGTGATGATATTGTGAAGGCGCTGATGAGAAGGAATGTTCCGGTTCTACCCACTAGTCTCGTATCCATAGAGATCTCTGGGCTTAAAGATATAAAATGCTTGTATGGGAAGTGGCTTCAACATCTCACCTCTCTCCAAAAACTTGAGATTTCTCACGCTAATCTTCTCAAGTCGTTGCCAGAAGAGGGGGAGTTGCCTTTCACTCTTAAAGAATTGTATATCATTGACTGTCCGTTATTGAGAGGAAAATTGCAGCCGAGGACAGGGAAAGAGTGGAGTAAGATTTCTCACATTCCCTACATATGTATAGACTATCACGTCTACCAATGAGTGTTACATCAAAGTGAGTCACCAAAATACTCCTTTCTTGTTTCTTGTTATAAATCTCATCAATAAACATTTTCTTCCTAATCCATGTTCTGGTTCTGGGGGCTCAAATTGAAATGAAATGCTTCCTCCTTCACAGTTCACACATCAAGGTTTCTCAAGAAGGCTAACAATGTAAGTTATTATAGTACTTTTTACCAATGTGATTCTAGTTATTAACTTTTAGTTTTTTAATAGAACAATTCATGAGGTCATGGCGGTTTTTACTTTTCTGTGGAAAAAAAAAAGAAGTGAACAAATGAACATTGAGTGTGTTTTATGTGACAGTTGCAATTCTGTTGCTTAATCCCCAAGTTATGAAAGAAAATTGCAAAGCATGTTAATTTGATGATTTAATATGATTGTATATGAATTTGAATCCCAACTTTCAATGCATGGAAGTCATTAAGAATGTGGACTAATTTAGTCTATGAATTTTGCTGCATGTTGTTTCTATTCATAAGTAACCAAATTATGGTTTTATAACAGGGCTTTCTCAACATTGCTGTGCTTTTCCAAAAGAGGTGAAAAATCATGCCCCGAATGCAGTTTCAATGGATCAGTTTCAATGTTTCTACTCATTTTTACACATCTCAAATCTTTATAGAATACTTGGATGGAAAGTGACTTCAACTTGGTTGTTAGAAGAGCCAAAGTTTGCCTCCTCTCTTGAAGAACTGAATCAATTTTTGTTTGTTATTGGAATCAAGTGTGTGGAAGAAACGAGGAAAAGAGTATTGGAAAAATGAGTATTCCTAGCATGCTTATAGATTATGAGTTGGTCATATTCGCACAAGCATCATGTCTTGGTGAGTAGCTGAAATACTTCTTCTTTCATGAATTGATTAATACTACGGAACTGCTGCTGCTCTGCAGTTGGAGACGCAATTGACTGAACTTCCTTATTAAATATCGTGGGTTCTCATTATGTATTTTTTCTGTATCTGTTTTGTTTTAAATTAGAATTGTTGTTCCGACAATTCCAAATACATTGAATTTTGAACCTGTTTCTTGACATGTGAAGATTTTAAGGGAATAGCAAGAGTTTTAATCATATAAAAAGAACCAAATGTCTACAAAATTTAAACCACAAAAAGTGTTTATTAAGTCCGATCGCGAGTGTCCAAATAAATTAATAGATAAACTCGTTATTTTTTTCATTGCTGGTTTGTAGTTGTCGAACTTGTACTAATATATGTTTGTGTCTTAGTCGACCAGTAATCCATGTGAAACGAACATAGGTATATGAAACAAAACATAACATTTGTCCTATTTAAAAAATTATTACACTTGTGGTAAAATAGACGGATATGAATTATGATGTTTCCGGTTAATCAGAATCTGAAGTGGATTGACAGACAACGTCTGTAAAGTTGGAAACGAATAGAAGGGGGTGTACCTGCAATGCACTCTGACGCACAAATAAATAACAGTGCAAAGAGATACAAGAAAGAGATTAGAGTTCTAGAATGAATATTGGATATCGGGCCCTCACGAGTGTGAGAGCTTATATAGCGCCCCCGATATTTGGCCATTGGTTCCTATTTTTGGGCATAGATATGAGGTTTCTCAAAAATAGGTAACGACCAGGAACTAGCCGTTGTAACGGGTAGAGGTGCTCGTAACTAGCCGTTACAACGGGCTGAGAAGTGTCTCATGGGAAAGCGTGATTTCTGGTCGTTCCTGGATGGCTATCCTCGTGCGGCTGAGAATGATGAGGAACGACTCGTTTGAGTGGGCATAAGTAACCGTGCAGACCCTGATGGTCAGCCGACCAGGGCTCATCGGGTGAGATGCAGAAGGGATAAAGTGTCCCTTATCCTTCATGTTTAATTGGGACAAGGTCATTGGACCGTCCTACATGCATAAGTATATTGAGCCATGCTTAGCTATTGGGTCAGTCTAGAACAAATTGAATTGTTAATGGATGAATCAAAATAATTCATTAATATATTAACAATCTACTAAAACTTCATTAAAAATATCCAATCGAATCATCCATTCAAGATAAAATTCATTCAATCCATCAATTAACATCATTTTCATCGATGGATATCCATCCATCTATTAATTTCAATATATTCATTAACTTTTAAATTTTTTTTTTACGTTTTCAGAAATAAAATTGATATTTCGTATTTCTGAAAAAACTCGATTTTTTTCGTAGTTTAAAAAAAACTCGATTTTTTCGTAATTTCGAAAGAAGTCAATTTTTTCGTATTTTCGAGAAAATTGATCTTTTGTGTTACTGAAAAAACTCAATTATTTCATAGTTCTCAAAAACTCGATTTTCGAATTTCAGAAAAAAAACTTGCTTTTTCGTATTTCCAAAAAAACTCGATTTTTTTCATAATTTTGAAAAAAACTCGACTTTTTCGTATTACCTAAAAAACTCGATTTTTTTTTTCATATTTTTGAAATACTCGATTTTCCTAATTCCGAAAAGAACTCGATTTTTATATTTCCGAAAAAAACACACAATTTTTCATTTTTTCAAAAAAACTCGATTTTTTTATAATTATGACAAAACTCAATTTTTACTATTTCCACAAAAACTCGATTTTTCGTACCTGGAACGAACCTTCTTTGGTTTCTGCTACCTCCTTGAACCATTGCCTTTAAAAAGCGTTCTCGTCCTACTTCCGATTGCCTTCCAAATCTAGGAACATTCACATATATCTTCTTGTTCTCAATGAAGATGTTATCCAACTTGACCGCAAGTAATCTGATATATTCTACTTCTCTAAATATGAATATATTCCTCTTAGGAGGGATAACAACTTCATCAGATTCCCATGATTCTTCAAAGTTTCAAACACTTCTTTCTCCCCAAAATGATCAGAAATCTCATAAAAGTACATTGAAGAACTCCCATCTTTTCCCCCTCTATCAGGTTTATCCTTAACAATGAAAACATCACACCTCATAATTGGCTTCCTACCACCATTAAAGGCCTTCTTTATGACTTTCTTTCACTCCATAATCGACTCGCATAATGAAGCCCAAAAACATGCAAAGCGATTATTATATTTTTGGTCTAAAATAAATAAAAGACACATTATTTTTGTTTTTTGTTTTTTTTGCTTAAAACCAATAAGAGATACATGGGTCTTCCTTCAACTGGTGTTAAAAATGGTGATAAAAGCAATCCCAAATTTGATGAACTTGCTTAAACTAAGGAGCTTATGAAAAAAAGGTTTGAATCCCATGTATAACAATGTCTTTAGTTATTTGTTTTTTGTTAAGTCCTATAAAATGCAACAACTCACTATGTATGGATAACATATATGGTTGAATTAGTTTACTTTGATTTATGTTGATGCACAAATCCGGGGGGTCAACGAGGGAGCATCTTTATACTTGTGGACTTTCCTTTTAAGCAACACACCTATATGAGAGACACACCACATACTCACCCAAAATCTTAAAGTGATAGGTGTGTGGGACTTCCCCACACTACTCACACTTATAATTCTTTTTCAACAATTTAGGCAATTCAAATGACTTGTATACCTCTTAGAATGTGTGGGTTGGACATAACTCAACCCTATAAAACCGGCTTGTAGGATGAGGATTGCCCCCACTTATAACTTAACACCCCCTCACACACTATCCAAGATTAAACAATTGAAGCGTGGAACTAAATGGTGGGTGATCTGATAATAGCGGAGTGGCCCAACGGATATTAAATTGAGCTCTTATACCATCTTAGAATGTGTGACTTGGGCTTAACTAAACCCTAAAAAATCGGATTATAGAATGAGGATTTTCTCCACTTATAAGCACATGTGTGAGACTCCTAACAATACCTTTAACCATGTCTGACGTAAATCTCTCCAGGCATCCCTATGACTTCCTGTCTTTAATTTTTTTCTATAAAGCTCCCTTTTTCTTTGAATTTTTTTGTATTGTTAACTAGCTTTATTAATTCTCTGAATTATGTGATTGTCATTATGTTTGACAAAACTAATAGAGCAACAATATGTTAGATATGATGTATTTACTTGCTAGCAGGAACAGGTTGTGCAAGAAGACTCTGCTAGAGAAAGAGAAAGAGAAAAAGAAGAAGAAGCGAGCCGGTGTGGTTATCATGGGCAAAAGGTTTTAAGGACAAGCCAGACGGACGTTGGAATTCCCATCAACATCTGAAGAGGGGGAAGGAAAAGGAAAAGGAACGACAGTGCCATCTGATTCTGAAGCAGAAGAAGAGGAAGATGAGGACTACTCCAAACAACAATACCCTCCGGCCGATGACAAATACAAAAACTTGGAAGAGCGTCTAGCTGCTATTGAAGTGCAGAGAGTACCGGGGCTGGACTTTGAGGAGTTAGGTTTGGTGTCTGGAATAGTAATCCCACCTAAGTTTAAAGTACCTCTATTTTCCAAGTATGATGGGGTGTCTTGTCCCAAGATGCACCTACAATCTTATGTCAGGAAAATTCAACCGCATTCTGCTGACAAAAATTTGTGGGTCCACTTTTTCCAAGACAGTTTGTCAGGAACACAGCTTGATTGGTTCTACCAGTTGGAGAGAGCAGACATCCATAATTGGGAAGACTTGGCAGCCGCCTTCTGTAAACAGTATCAATACAACGCCGACTTGGCGCCAACCCGTACTCAGCTACAGAGTATGGCTATGGCTACCAATGAGGGCTTCAAAGACTACGCCCAAAAGTGGAGGGACTTAGCTGGAAGGGTGCAACCACCATTGTCAGAAAGAGAGCTAGTGGACATGTTCCTGGGTACCCTGTCAGGTCCTTTCTTCAATCACCTGATTGGAAGTTCGTCCGCTGGGTTCACTGATTTGATTCTAATCGGAGAAAGAGTGGCGGCCGGTATAAAAAGCGGGAAAATTCAAAAAGATGCATCTACTTCTGCTGCCATCAGAAAACCTTTCACGGGAAAGAAGGAAGTGTCAGCTGTCTACTCTCATAGGGGTCAAGGAAGACTTGAGCGTCGGCCAG